GTGAGTGGATTGCCTGAGCCCGCAGGTTCGAGACCCTCCTGGGCAACTTGGCGAGACCTCCTCTCTACAATAAATCAAAAATGAGCTGGGCGTAGTAGTGCGCGCCTGTAATTCCGGCTACTCGGAAGGCTGAGGCGGAAGGATCGCCAGAGACCAGCAGGTCGAGGCTGCGGTGGCCGGGAGTGGCCACTGCACTCCAGTATGGCAAACAGAGTGAGACTCCAACTCAAAAAAAAAAAAGAAATCACAGAAGCAGGCCAGGCGCAGTGGCTCACACCTATAATCCCAGCACTTCGGGAGGCTGAGGTGAGAGGATTGCCTGAGCCCACGGGTTTGAGACCAGCTGGGCAACTTGGTGAGTGAGACTCCAACTCAAAAAAAAAAATACAAAAAATTTTTTGAGGGCAGGGTTTTGTAGGAAATAGTAGAAAAAAAACTAAATGATGAGTCAGAAATCACTAAAGCAGAGAACTTGATTGAAATCAGTTTATTTTTTTACTTTATTAAAACAGCCACAGGTAAGAGCTGGACAACACAGGATGTTGACGCCCGATTGGAAAAAGAATCCCCAGCATCCTGATCACTGCATCCGGCCATGTGGCCACATCCCTCCCGTGGTCTGCGTGGCACAAGCTCTCTGGCCTCCCCTGGCCCACCAGCATCTCTCTGAGCCCTGGTCAAGGATGGCCACCAGCTGGGGTCACCAGGTAAAGCTGTCTCTCAGGTGACAGGACGTACAGGCAAATGACATCCAGCGAACAACAGAGATGCCGTACCTAAAGACAGACAAACTCAAGAGTTTCTGATGGCTCAGACAGGAGGAAAGATGGCTTTTCTGAAGACCCCAGGAGGGCCTGGGTGACATGCCCAGCCGACATCTGGCAGCCAACGCTGGTAGGCTGGCAATAGGCAGAAAGGGCCCCCAGGTGCCGCCCGCTGCAACTAACTGTACATTTCAGTTCCGGCAGGGAGTGTCCTCTGTGGGTGGCAGTGGCCTCAGCCAATGGCAGGTTGCCAGGACCCGGCAAAAAGCACCTAAGGAGAAAATGTAGGTCTGGAGAAGAGAGCATTTCTGTGTCTAGCACCTTCTGGGCAGCAAGAGGTAAAGTTCAGCTCAAACATCCTTTTTGTTATTAAAAGGCCCCAACTTTTTTATGTTTGTTTGAGGCAAAGTCTTGCTCTGTCACCCAGGCTGGAGTGCAGAGGCACAATCATAGCTCACCACAGCCTCAAGCTCCTGGGCTCCAGCCATCCTTCTGCCTCAGCCTCCCGAGTAGCTGGGACTACAGGCACACACCACCATGCCTGGCTAATTATTTGATTTTTTTGTAGAGATGAGGTCTTGCTATCTTGCCCAGGCTGGTCCCAAGCTCCTGGGCTCAAGCGATCCTCCCACCTCGGCCACCCAAAGTGCTGGGATTTAGCGTGAGCCACCATGCCCAGCCTGATAAGTAATTTTTTTAATGAAAAAAAAGAGGACATGTAAGGAAGTTAAGAAAAGAATGTTGTTTTTTCCTTTTTCTTTTTCTCACCTGCAGTTCCATGCACAACTTCGTTTTTCTAGTCCAGCCCACTGCTTACACACGAACCCCTTGGGGTATGACCACACCTTTGAATACCTGGGACAGAAATTGCGGTTCCATCTGACTTCACCAAAAAAGAATATACATAAGAAGGCATGGTGGCTCAGCCTGTAATTCCAGCACTTTGGGAGGCGGAGGCGAGAGGATTGTCTGAGCCCAGGGGTTCAAGACCAGCCTGGGTAACTTGGTGAGAACTCATCTCTACAATAAATCACAAAAACTAGCTGAGCCCGGTGGCGCATGCCTGTAGTTCCAGCTACTTGGAAGGCTGAGGCGGAAGGATCACTTGAGCCCAGCAGGTCAAGACTGCAGTGGCCGTAAGCATGCCACTGCACTCCAGCCTGGGTGACAAGAGTGAGACTCCAACTCAAAAAAGAGAATACATAAGAAAACGTTAAAGGTGAGATGTTGTGAATGTGGCCTCACACAAAGCAGACTTTAAATTTCAGACAACCAACTAGAGTGGATGGAATTCTCGGGCCGACAACACCTCTGATATCATCCCGAAGGGTGCTCTTGGTAAGGCTGAGGGTTGCTCCACGCCCCGGTCAAGTTCCTGGGTGTCTCACAGAACACAGTAAAATGATGTTACAACCCCACATCTGATTTATTAGCAACCCACGCAGGCACATGGGTCTGGCCACAGAAACTACTGAATTCCAACAGGGTTCTAAAGCCAGAATGGAGCGAGCATCCCAGACGAACGCACGCTTCACAAGTCTTCTGTCCGAGTGGACTCCACGCATATCACACAGGCGTTTTACATTGGATCCGCTCTGCGTGACGCAGCTCATCCAGAACATTCCTGATGTTCTCAACACAAACTTCTCCTCTGTGGTGTTTTTTGGATGCAAGTCTCCATGCGTGTTCGAACTCTTCCTCAGAAAGCTTGACCCCGATGTGGCATAGTATATCTGCAATCTAGAAAAAAAAAAAAAAAAAACACTGAACATCAGACCAAGATTTACATGTTTTAAATTTTATATTTTAAAATAACAGGTGTGGCTCACACCTGTCATCCCAGCACTTGGGGAGGCCAAGACGAGAGGATTGCCTGAGCCCACGGGTTTGAAACCAGCCTGAGCAACCAGTGAGACCTCATCTCTACAATAAATCAAAAATTAGCCTAGTGTGGTGATTCACGCCTGTAGTTCTGGCTACTTGGAAGGCTGAAGCAGAGGGACCACCTGAGCCCAGCAGGTCGATGCTGTGGTGGCCGTGAGCATGCCACTGCACTACAGCCTGGGCAACAGAGTAAGACTCTGGCTCCAAAAAAAACCCAAATCAATAAAAATATCTTTGTAATATATAGGACTATGGATATTTATCCTAAATACAGTGTGTGTTTTATTTTGTATGTGTTTGTATATATCTATATATGTACATATATAATATATAATTATTTTATTCTTTATATGTAAATTAATATTATATATTATATATATAATGAGAACATAGAAAAATTTCAGTACTCTCCGCTCCAGAATAATTTTGTTATTATGAATATGAGGGTGTGTTCAACTATACTAGCCAATATATAAAATGCTTTCTACTTTAAGTGTTTCCAGTGATTTTAAGAGAAACAGGAAGATTCAAGCAAAAAGAATTTAAAAATTAAAAACAAAACCTGATAGGTTGAGTCTCATCATTTTTTTTTTTTTTTT